GTTGTGTTCTTTTCCGTTAAAAGAATATGTTTTAAGAATTTGTTCTTTATTCTATTATCTTTTCTTCTCTTCTGTTTTCTTTTTTTCTTCTCTTATGTTTTTCTTGCTATTATGTTCCTTTTTCTGTTGTGTGTTTTAACCTTTTTCTATTTTATGTTGTCTTTGCGAGATAGTTTTTCGAAGGCCCTTTAATTAAGTGTTGTTAGTTTATCAAAAGGAAAGAAAGCCACAAATACGTATATTTATAGCTGTTAATCATGAACATATTTGTACTAAAGAAATCGGTTAGTTAAAACAATAGGCGGCTAACCTTTAATATCAAATAAACTTATGGTGGTTTTAATATGTGTTGAAATTTGTAACCGATCTCTTCTATTTTTAAATTTTACAGTTGCATTTTAAAACGTCTCAATTATATTTGGTTTTGAATTACAATAACAACAGTATTTTATTTGGTATTTTTTCGATTCTAACACACCATATTGTTTTAAATTTGTTTGCAAAAACAGCTTGTATTGTTGCTCTTTTTCAAGCATTTCTATATTTAAGTATGTTTTTTTTGACATAATGAGTTGTATTATGTCAGCATCCAAAATAATTCAAGCCGGTGGAAATGGAAGGCTATGGAAGGCTGAAGAAGATTAATGTTTATTTAACATGTTCCGCTTTATTGGTTTCTTTTTTCTTGCGATTGCTTTTCTTTTTCCGTTTTTCCAACAGGTTTTTGCATAAACATTTGTCATTTTTTGCAAAGCAACTCTTCTCTAACACAATTTCTTTGGTTCTATTTCATGATAATTTGCTCTATGTATTGGATGTCAATTTTACTAAGCATTATATTACTATATTTGCATAACGTTTCATTAGTATATGTTTTGCTTTTTACCATGCCACAACAAAATCTGAATACAAAGCGGAAGGCGAGCAGGAGGCTTTTGAAGAACATGTTGCATTTCCCTTTGTATTTTTCACTTTGTTTGTTCGTTTCTTCTCTTCTCTTGTCTTTTCTTGTTTCTGTTTTTTTTAATCGATTGTTCTCTTTTTTTTGCTTGTTTGTTTTTTTTCTCTTTTCTCTTCTGATTACTATTCTCTTTTCTTCCCTTCTCTCTTTTCTCTCTTCTTTTTCTTCTCTTCTCTTTTTGTTTCTTTTCTTATATGTGTGTGTCTTCTCTCTTTGCGGTTCTTTTTGTTTTTGTGTTTTATATACGTCTTCTATTTTTTGACCTTGTTGACACCATTTTTGGTTTCCAAGCTGAGCCACCTCAGCGGCCTTTTCTTAGTATATATGCAAGACCAAATTTTGAGGCAGATCGCAAGGGACTGGAGAGCCTTCTTGGAGTCGACCTTGACATGATGTTCACCAAATACCACAAAAATGTCTTTCAAGGGTGTACAAGGGTGTCTCATAAAAAAGAGTGTCCAGCAAAAGTGCAACAAAAGTGCAGGCTAAGGGTGTCCTACAAGAGTGCCTTGCAAGAGTCCCCTACAAGAGTGTTGCTAGTCCCACATGTGTGTGGCCCAAAGATGGTTCCGTTTTGAAGAGTGTCGCGCAAGAGTGTCAAGCAAATGTGTCTGAGAAGAGTGCCGCCCCAGAATGTCCTTCAAGAGGGTCGTCGGAGAGTGTCAAACTACGCTTGGGCGCGGTTGGCCATTTGTGTTTGCATACGCGTGTGCATTCGGGTTCGTGGGTTCCATTTGGTTTTCTTCTTCCCTTTCCTCGCGCAAACCACCTTTGCAACCAGTGTTTCTATAGAGACGGGCCTTTCGCAAAACCCGCAAACCACTTCCAGAAACGTGTCGCCATTGCCGGCAGTTTCAGCCACTTTCCGCCCAGGTTCCTTCATGGAAAAGGAGATCACTATGCTAATTCGTGAGGTGGAAGTCTCCTCCGACACATCCATGCACCAGTCGGTCGAGAACTTCATCCGGAACATGGTGCATGCTTTGCGGAGTGGCCACTTTGGGTGAAAAATCCTTAGATCGGTCCAGTTTCCATGTGGAGGGCAAAACCTTGTGAAGTTCGTTCCCCTTCAAGTGGAATTCCACAGAATGGTTTGGAACATTATGTTGTCCCCCCGCTACGTCGGAGCTTAATATGGCACAAATATAGATATATATATTTATGTGTGTGTTTTAAGCTTGATGAAAATTCATTTACATTGCGGAAATGTGAATACAATTTCATTTGGGACGTTTTCTTTCGCTTTGTAGTTTGATTGGTTAAAAGACACGCGGGTTGCGGAATAAACCTTAGGACATGCGGTCCGAGTACTTTGCTTTCACAGGTTTTGCACACCCATATCGTCCAATTGACGTTGATTCACAATAAGCAGGTTCCCCTGTTCCCCTACAATAGTTTTTTTTTCCTGTGCGGCGTGTGTTGGCACGTTTATTGCTTATATTCAATGTGGGGCACCCTGGGGCAAACAACATCAATATGATTCGGTTTGCCCTTGAGACAAGGTCCAAAGAGAACTCAACACAGCAAACTGTGTCACTTGGTACGTTTCTAACGCTGTTGCTCCCCTCCTTGTCTTCAAACCTGCCCTCAGAACAACAAACAAATTTGGTCAACGGGGCTTTGGACAGAAGAATTGCACTCTCCCTAATTGACATTGGTTAACTCCTTTTCCGCTGCCCGGCTGACAGGTCAGGGTCATGTCCATCCTTCACTATCTTCCGTGTGTCACTTGGTCTACTCCGCTGCAGAGGTAAAGTTTGGCATTTTAGCAGCACAGACGCCTGGATTGGGAAGAAACCCTTGAGGTGGTTGACAATTATAGATATATACGTATATACGTATTTGTTATGTATATATGTGATTGCGTCCACACAGAATCTTCGAGACAGCTGTATACATTTCTAGCTATATACATTTCTATACTCACTGAATATACACTACCACATATCCTTCCATCATGGTGTTTCAATGATCACGATGTTTTCCCGCACCTTCGTTGGGGGAAGTCTCCCAGGAACGCCGTCGCCACTCTTTTGTTGAGCCGCGTCATCACACCCTCTTTGCTCCGCGCGCGGCCCACCGAGCCTGCCGCGGGCGGCGCTGCCGCGCCCTTCTCGGAGCGCGTCTCGGAGCTCTCCAGGCTCTTGCAGCGCAGCTCGGAAGTTTTTTTGGCAAAGACCCGAGGGGGCGAAGGCTCTCTGGAGCATACATTAAGAAGGTAATTAGATGATTTTTCGAGGTCAATTCTCATGCGAACTTTCTGCATCATGTCTTTTCCAGTGAGACTGGACAAGCAAAAGTCTTTCAGGGTCCAGGTAATAAGTCCTTTGTGTTGGGACATGCCGGGCACTCATGGCAGGAGTTCATGGTCAATTTTTAGGAGCTGTTGTAGGGCTGATTGGGTATGGAGATTGGAAGGGAGGGACAAATCGACACAAACCTATGCAAAACACAGAGCTTCCATCTACCATCCGCTTTACTGGAAGAAAAAACTTTTGCCCAACCCTTTTTGGGAACTCTTCCCATACTGGAACACATTTGCTTCGCTTAGTAAGGAATCGCCCACTTTGCGCATCACGACGACGACGCGCGGAGCCATGCCGGTGTGCCTGACTTGTCTGAAGTGCTGAAGCACGTCGCAGCGCTCAGGGAGTTGGTCTCTAGGGTCTTGGCTTTGCCACCAGATCCACAGATGCTTGGATCACAGGTGATCAGAGATTGATGGGATAAAATGCTTTCTGCATTGGCATGCGCAGACCTTTTTTGAGGGTTCCCTTCCAGAGTATGCTTAAACGGATCCTGGAGATATGGCTTTGAGTCACAAACATACACCCAATACCATCGAACGTATTGGCCCTATAGACATTGTTACTGCAGCCATGTGCGAACCCTTTGCATGTCTTTCTTTCACACCCCATTTTTTTTTGGGGGGGCTCTTTTCCCATACCTGCCGTGCCGCTTTGGACCGCTTCTTCGCGCCGAAGACTCGTTCTCTTCGTTCGTTCCGCCGTTCTCAGGATGGGTCTCAACTCCGCGACCGAAGACTCCGAAGCCGCTGCGCTGTGGATCGTCCAGACCTGCCGCCGCTGGATGGCCCAAGTCCCCGCCGAAGACGCGGGGTCACGCCGCGCGGACGGGCGCGCGCGGCAGCAGCAGCAGTTGGAGCTGATCGCCGGTCCGCCGCACGGTGACAAAGAAGGAACATGAAGGACCCAGATGAACGGGAATTGTGGATTAAATCGACAAAGTGGTTGGTTGGTACGTTGGTTGGTTCTTTGATCTTGGTTAATGGGCTCCTTGGTGTGGGCCAACACTCGCACCCACTGAACCATTTGTCTGTAGCGTTTCGAGCCAGCATAGCTGTTTTTTTGACTATGACTGCACTTGCAGTTGCGACATCGTCGCGCAACAGTTTGTGGCCATCAGCAGGGCTTTTGCGATCAATGTCGTTTGCCCAGGTAGGCAGGCTTGGGAGACGCCATCTCTATTAGGTTGGAGGCCATCTCTAGTAGGTTGGAGGCTATCTCTAGTAGATTGGAGGCCATCGCTCTAAGGTTGGAGGTCAATGCTCTTCGTTTCGTTTGCCCAGGTTAGCACGCTTGGGCGAGCCTTCCCATTCGTTTCACGCGATGCCCGAAGCACCGCGGCCTTTGGCGGATCGACATTGATCGACCATGAGAGCGGTTCTCGATCAGAAAAAGGCACCTGCGGCAGGTTCAGAAGATTCACATGGTTGTTTGCTTGTTAATTTTTTAACCAGGGATTGGAGCAGGCTGGAGAACATTATGCAGCAGGTGGTGGTGGTTTCATGTTGTAATTATGTGTTTTCCTATTGGTAGCGCTTATAGTATATAATAGATGTTGTTGTTTAGCCAGCAGCCAGTCACACCATTTAGCGGAACTATAGGAAGAAACCGGTCGCCAAACAACCTTCCAGGTTCTTTAATCACGCCACTATCAAGCGACAGACAAAGCTTCGCAACTAGCAGCTACAGTCAGCGGCACTGCCGCTGACTGCTTCTGACTGCCACACTGCCAGGTCACTGATCGATCAGTGATTGGTACAGCCAGGCCGTACAACGACCAGAATTTCATCAAGGCACGCACATAAATTCATGAGACACCAGGAGAAACGACCACATCCTACCAGTAAACGCAGTAAGAAAGGCCGCGATTGGACACAAGAAGCTGTGAAAAGAGCTAGAACTTGTGCCAGGCAAAGCTAACCAATTTTAAAGTTTAAAGGGTAAAGACTTTTTTTGGTGAGGGTGGTGAAGCTAAACAGGTTGTGGTTGTCCTGTTCAATACATCAACCGGGCAGGGTTTTCATGAAGGTGCCATCAAAGATAGGCGCATTAAGTTTACATAAGTTCACCAAATTCATGCAATTGTTGTTTTTTTCTTACATGTGGCAGATAGCCAAAGAAGGTTGAGAGTTCTATCGATCAGCAAGAGCTGTGAAGAAGGCCTCACATGCAGAATTTTCCTTGATGCTTTTGCCCATTTGGGGAACATATGCAGGTCTTGAAGGCTGTAGCAGTGTTGGTGTGGTGTTGTGATTTTACAGTTGAGATCTTTTTGCGGTTATATTACTTATTGGCCCTTAAAACTGTTTTCAACACAGACAGAAGGTATGACGTCGTTCCTGCTTCAACATATGTCTTGGTCCTGCTTTTGGGTCCGTCAACATTGATGCCTTCTATCATGGCTGTCGCCTGTGCAGGTGGATCTAGTTCCACAAGGTTATCTGTGGCTCTCCGTCTCAGACTTGCCTGAGCAGCCATGAGCGCGTGTGAATCTCAGTGGGAAGAAACTGGGCGTTGAAATCTGGTCAAAGCTAGACACCCAACCAAGTCAACATGGACCATTCTGTCCATGTGAGCAATTGCACAAATGCAGAGTTTTGACTCAAAGGCATACCACTACTGTTTTGGAGTCAAAGACCTGTTCAGCAGAGATTGACACCTGGGGAGGGTGGCTTGGGGGCCCTGGACAGGACCGTACAACACGCGGAACGGTGGAAGGATGTTGTTCTCTCGCAAAGTACACTCAGCCGTTGTCCCGATTACTGTGCCCAACTGTGCCCTATTGGCATTTTTTGGTTGGGATTGTCCCCCAAGATTGACCACTGTGAAGGGACTCTTTGTATCCTTTGTAGTCAGTGTAGGCAGAACGACTGGCGAAGAGTGGTAGTTTTGCTGTTGTTGCAGATGGCATGGGATAGTTAAAGCTTGAAGGATTGTTTGCTCCCTGCACTTGAAGACTTGAGGATTGTCAGGGAAATCACAATCAGCTGGAAACCGTTCCAGTCCTTTTGAGCTCCAGTCAAACGGCCCCCAATCCCAAGGTGGCCACCTGTTTATTGGCGTTTGCTGCATTAAGGTCAGCATAAGAACTGATGCTGCAAAATTGTTGGAGGGAAGTGCTTTTGATAAACTGATCCGAAGATATGCACCATGTGGACAATACCTTGTTAATCTACGGAGGGGCGCAAGTATATAGATATATATTTTTATATATATCGTGTAGGAAACCATCCCTCAAAGCAATCTATATAGGCAGTTCAGACTACAGAAAACAAACAGGACATACCTCCTTAGAGGTGCCGCGGACGTTTCACCCATGTCCGAAGAGATGGCATGGCAAAATTCAAGTCACCAAAGCGCAGATCCGGTGCAAAATGGTGATGGTGATGTTCAACAGGATTGCGTTCTCAGCAAGAAACCAATGTTCTGGTTAGTTTTAATGTGATCTGAAGACCCAATCAACAACCCCCCGCATGTGGAAGGTCGGATTAACTCGGGCCGGGAGGTTGATCAATCCCAGCTTTGCATGATATAGAGAAATGTACTGATGCTGTGCCTGCCAGTTTTGCCCATACCCCAACAACATGTGTGCCCTTGCCGAAGAACCATCCGCCCTGGCGTTGGGCAATGGTCATCATCCATTTTCCGAATACCAAACAACAGGTGGTGAACTCCACTTCTAGTGTTCAGCAGCACGAGGCCCTTTCGGTGGCAAGCTACAGTTTTTCCACGTGCATCGGCATTGTGACCACTACAGCCAGCCCCTGACGGCCGTGAACGCCAAAGAGAGTAGGCTGCGGTCATAAACTCCCCTGGCGACATGAACAGTACGTCAAAAAGGCAGACTCCAACTCCATGGCGTCCTTGAAGCCTCCAATTGTTTCTCAGATGTTTCCCAAACAAAACATGTATCGCACGCCACGTATCGTTCACGGATCGGATCGTTGTCTCAAGGAGATGGCATCAGGACTGGCAAGTTGTCCCTAAAACTGTCGACATTCACCACAGGGCCAGTACCAGCTGCCACCAATCCATCAGATATCAGCTAATAGAACACGAGGACGCAACGACCGAGTCACCCCAAGGTCAAGGCGTTCATTGAAGAGTCGATGCTGCGCCAATTCAGTGAGTGGGGGACCACCGCTGCCACTCTTTCTCCAAGGCCCATGAGTGGGGAATAAACATGAATCATTCGTGTTGCACAACCACACAATAAGTTCCTTGAGAGGCCCAATGGTCATAAACGGTCCAGACCACACAAATGATCATGGTTGGTATAGCTACCTTCATTATGGTCCTTTTGGCACAGGAAATGCAGTCCATGTATCAAGGCCTGAACACAAAACTCTTCACCACTTCACCAGCGGGTCGAAGCGGACTGCGCGTTGGGACCCCGTGCGCCGTGAGCCATGGGCCATGAGTAGTCGACAAGAGCGCTTGGACTTCGAGGCTGAATCACTTGCAGATGGGAATTAGTGGTGTTTTGGGATGCGGTTGTGCGCGGTCGCCAGCCAGGCTGTGGCTTTTTGTGCCAAAGAACAGATGGTGACGAAGCAAGACCAGGGTCCCAGCCATTTGCAGGTCCATCAAACACAAGCTTCGGAGGTCCATCGAAACCTCAAAATGTGACACTTCCGTTCTCACCCCACCTGTCCCTTTGAGGATGCTGTGGCTTCAATCTGGAGCTTCTGGGAACAACAATAAGCATTTGCCCAGCTAAAGCTGAAACACCTGGACGGCTGAAGCTGAAACACCTGGACACGTGACTGGCTTGCGCACCGATGGTAGGCCCATGATTTCTACGCTTCTCTCAACTTGGAGCCCAATGCCACGGAAGCTCAGGCGCACCGCCCCGCTCTCCGCCCTGGCCGCCGGGCGGTCGAAAACCATGGCACCGGTTCGACCTTGCAGCGTGTGGTCTTTTTCTCCTTTTGGGGAAGGCTACCATGGAGGGCTACCTCAAGACAAATCCGATGGCTTCACAGGAGTCGCCTTTTTCGTCGTTTTGCGGGGGCGGCACAGGTCCGAAAACACTTCCGACTGCTGGCGTTGCAGTGCGGAAGCTCAGAGTTCGGTGAAAGCTGGATCGATGAGGATGGCAAGAGTAATGACAGGTGACGAGCCTTGCTGTTGTTTCGTATGCATGAGGGTATGAAATCCATATCTTAAAACACATAACATCATATGAAGTCCATAAGATATCTGATAAATTCTTGTGAACTAATGCATAATGTATATATTCTATCAAATAGAGTTCAGTTAAGGCTGTAGACGTATGTAAGGGTGTGAAATTGGAGACCGGGCCATCCTTTGGAGACCTTTGGAGAAGGAGGATCATCACAGTATATGCGATGCACGTGTATTTTATTATTGTTATTGTTTGTGGGCGTTCCCTTCCCTCATATGACAAACATCACTTGTTGCTGTAGCAGTGTGGCTTAGTGTGGCTGAAAAGTTCATGGGTTGGGCAGAGAATGGCAGAGATGAGATACTTATTTGTTCTTGTATTTGTTCACTTAACCTTTCTCCGAGATGCTTTCCCAACTTCTTCTCGGAGATGTCACCCTCCTAAAGAGACAAACACATGTTCAGTCTACTCACCCGCTCCACATGTTCAGAGCTGAGGTGGCATCCAGATAAGCATCCAGTGGAGGGTCCCGAAAGGACAGCCGGGTGACGGGAAATCATATGTATTGTCCGCCTTCACGTGGTTCACGTGCAAGAGCATCTCCAAGATGTTTGCGGCAGAAATGCCTCAAATCGCGACCAATTTGTGCAGGGTGTCGTGTGGTATATGCAAACAATTCGTGTGGTTCGATCATACTTATAGATGTTAAAGCAGGAAATCACACCTTGCGATCCTAAAGGAAGTTTGCAAAAGCTATTTCTCGGATGTTGCAGGGCACAAGGCCCCATGGTGTGATGCAGATCTTCTACCCACCATGGGGGCTGGTTCCAAGCAGCAGGAATTTGAGACATTGAACACCCCCAACGTCGGGACATGGTCTTGTCCAAAACATCGGGACATGGTCTTCCCCCAAGCTCCTGGAGGCATAAGAAAACAACCTGTATACAGAGGAAATACCATGGGGGCGTTTGACCCTGCTGAACGAACTCGCTCAGTGCAGAAACTATGTTGGCTTCGTCAGGACCCAGGCCACTGAGATTTTTCAACAGATCAACAAGGACGCTTCGTCGGACGCTTCGTCGTGCGAGAAACAAAAAAACCGACGTGTCGATCAGATCAACAAGGAGCGAGTCGTGCGAAGAAGAAAAAAGAACAGGTCGATCGATGCAAGACATGTACTGTACCTGTCTTATTGAGTCTTCCAATTTCGGCGGAGGTGCGCCGTCAGTGCGCCACCTTGGCCCGCCCTTTGTGAGGCTCATGCAGTTCTGTCGGATCAGAAGCTTTGCACTCAGGGAGACCGGGGTGGACGTAGTCTGAGGATTTTCTGAGATTGGCGTGTTTTGTTTTGTGAGGTGGAAAGTTGTTCACGTTTGGTCTTGGAACTTAAAAGGTGTTTTTTTGAGCGAAGTGGATCATTTTCATATGTTTCAGACTTTTGTTGAGCGCAGGCGAGGTTGAAGAATGATGAAACATACCAAAGCACAATGCAGTCCTAACTACAGGGGATCACAAATAGCACACATTGATGGTTTTTGGGGGTGTACCCCCCTAAAAAGTATACATTTCCTCGTCTCATTCCCGGGAAATGAATGGAAATGATTATTACATGTTCTTGTGCTTGGCTGATTATAGTATGATTATGGATGTCCCCCGCCCCCTTCAATACATTTCCTTGAAACTTGTATGCTTCCTGAGGGCAGTTTTCATTCTGTTGTGTTCATCCATTTCAATAGAAATCAGCTTCCAAATGGCCATGATAGGTCCCATAGTTTCCCCATGATTCTTGGAAAATTTCAACCCCATAGCTTCATACAAGTTGCGCTAGCACTGCTGGAGTTTCGTGGGATAGGCCTGTAGCATTTCAGACTTCCATCACTTGGCCAAGCCCCAAGCCATACAAAACAAACAGGGCCACCTGCGTTCTGTCCAGAATCTTGCTCGCCCTTGCATACCTATGATTCCTGCTGGTGATTCCCCACCCCCGGCTTGTAGACAATTTGTAGATGTGTATGGATGGGCGTGTACGCAGGTCTTGATGTCCCCACCACCTGTCTACCTGTCTGACATATCCTCGAGCCGGTGTGTCCAGAAACACTGAAGAGAACAATGATAATACAATATGTTTGTCCCTTGAGACATTATGTTTCTTTATGTTAAACTTAGTAAACCTCCCCTGTTCCGGAAAAAAAACACATGAAAACAATGACACCTGTTCTGCCTTAGCTTCAAACAATCCGAAGCATGCATATTCTTGTAGAGTTGGAACCGATGATGCATGAAGCAGCTTTCCTTGAGGTTTGCTTCCGCATGTTGGGCATCTTATATTTCCTTTTGCTCAGCTGCGCTGCTTGATGTCTGGATGTCGGCATAGGTTCCCATGGCTTCCCATGCGTTTCCTCAACCGAGAACGTGGCCAAACATTTTTGTCACCCACCAGTTGAGCAAGAAACCCCTCGCTTTGCCATGCCGGGTTGAATGCTGAGGCAGCGCGAACGTTATGATGTGATCTGGCAGCAGAGGCGGATGCCGGGCCTTAGGGTTTGTCACACTGGCCCCACCATGGGGCCACCACCATGTGTTTGTTCATGAAAATCGTCCACAGAAAGTATACCGCATTTCTTAGACCAGTAAGGCCAGCATGTCTCTATCATCGTGGATTGGTATACGTGGGACTCCCAATCGTGACTGGCGACTGGACGACGCCTGGCGCCGCGACTTGGGGCACAGGCATCGAGGTCATCATCGCGTGCCTTCCTGGGCGCAGGCAGAGAGTCACACGGTGGCAGCTTGGAGTTCCCTTCCAAACGAGATGATCGAATGGCATAGTATAAACAAAAGGTACTGGCCTATCACACGTACTTTGATGTCAGCTATTTTCAGTGTCATTTAGGCAACCTGTCAGGACTCTTCGGCAGTGCTATATTATATATGTATAACGTGTTGTTGTCAGTTGTTTGGTATATTTTGGAGTTTTATTGAATTGTTTATGTGGCATGTTTTGTAAGGCTCAGGGGAGTTTTTGGAATAATTTAGGTCCAACAAAGATTGGCTGAAGAGTACTGTTGATGAGTACCCCTATCGTCAAGACAGATTGTGGTTCCCGTTTCCACATACCAATAAATTGTTTTTTTTGACTTATGGCTTCAGCATTATGGAGACTAATTTCTTACAGTAACCATCAAGGGCATGCTTTATTGGTTCTCCAGCACTTGCACCGAACGTGACCAAATTCAGTGCCCTGAAAAGAAGATACAACACCGGGGTGTGGGGCCCAAAAGCAGCCAGATTCCAGGCTTCCAGGATGTTGACATCCCAAGAGGTCGGCTACGAACCAAGGGAGAGTTTGAAGTCTGTTGATGTTTGGAAGTTGTTTGTTCAGCTTAAAGTGTAGCCAGCTCCGAACTTACCAAAAGCCCCTCTCTTTGTTGGACAACATGGACAGTTTTGCTGATCGAGAGTCGAGAGTTTACCCTTTGAGAGTCGTTGAAGCAGCTAGCCAGGTCACTGGCAAGGAGGGCGGCTTCGGTGGCCTGGCTTTAGACTCCCATGTCACTTTGAGATCACTTCAAACGCCTGAAGAGGTCAGGGTCACGAAGCAAACCCTGGTCAGTCACACTGCAGACCTGAGTCACACAGTAGCTGAGAGATCAGAGAGATCATTTTGTTACTTTGTGTGTTCCTTTTTTGACTGGCTGGGTGCCTTCAAGGATTGACATTTGCAGGTATACTGGCTGGGTGCCTTCAAGGATTGACATTTGCGGGTATATCAAATCTATATAACCGCCTGAGGGATGCCAAATGCTCTGCAAATGTGCCAACTACTTGAGCTGTTCACTGCTATATTATATATATATATATATGGATTGGTTATTTTTCCTGTGGTGGGGTGGAATGCCTTAGTTTGCTTAAAAAGAAAACACTCCTGTCTCCGGCATCCTTGGCAAATGGATCCCCAAGGCCCATCAAAATGGGATGCAGTGTTTCTGCCTTGTCAAGATGGAGAATCACCCCTTAAGCGTCCCATGCTGGTTTGATACCTGCTTATACTGCAAGACATACACTTACATATATATAGAACGTATTTTGGAACAAAAGATAACATGTGTTTTTCTCCACTGGCGGGAAGTTCTAAGTGTATAGGTCGGGAGGTTCTAAGAGTATGTAGTGGCAGATGTTCTAACCCTGGAGTAAGAACATCCCAGGCCCTCGCAACTACACTAAGAACATAGTCCAACATATACACTTAGAACATATTTTTATATTTCTGGACATTGGGATGGTTTTGGAAAGCATGTTCGCGTCTATATAAACTATTCTAAACTTGCATTAGGTGGTGCTTCCAGAAGAAATGAACAGTGTCTTGTGTAAGTTGCCTTTGCAAAGAATAATTGTGGAGCCTTAGAGCGATGGCCTCCAACCTAAGAGCGATGGAGAGGAAACCCACACACGCATATATACCAGGACCCCCTATATAATATAAGGGGCTTCTATTGATGGCCGCTTTGAGGTCAAGGGGTGTTCATTAACCACCCCTTTCCGGTCCTGGTATGTATACACATATGATGTTCTAAGTGTGCTGTTTTCTGTTGTTCTAAGAGTGCTTGCGGTCCATGCTCCAAGTGTGCTTGCACTGGATGTTCTAAGTTCGATGTTCTAAGTAAATCTAAGTAAAGGGTTTTTCATGTTGGACAAAATGATGTTCTAAGTATGTGTTTGCAACTATAGTGCTGAGCAAATTATGAAACGGTTGGAACAGACTGAACGTTGGGCGCCCTTCGTCTTGGTGTTCGGGCTTGCAATTCGGGCAGGAGATTGGGACTGTATACGAAAAACATGCCAAGAAGACCCCAAAAGCCAAGGTTGGCCCCGAGGGAAGCCCTAAGGAGCCGCCAGAAGGCTTTAGTATATATATACATATCTTTAGGTCCTTTGAATAGAAAATTTGCTGAGCATGTTTGTTCTTTCACTGTTGAACAACCCAACAGCACCTCTGTAACATGCCCAGCATGACCATCCTGCAGGTTCCAGAGATCGTGTAGAGGACCGCTGGGGCGGTCAGATGTTCGCTGTGGGACGTGTGGTCATCTACGAAATCCCTTCTGAGAGCGGACCATACGAAATCCGTTCCCTGTTTTTTTCCATGATCTTTTACTATAGATCTTCAGATGAGTGGTTCTTTTTTGTGTGGAATTCCAGAGCCCAAGCAGTCGCACGTGTTAGTTACACATGCGTCAGGTTCCTCCGGCGAACTTCGCTCCGGAGCCGCGGTCGCGAGTGCATTTGCGGGGAACTTGGAGTGTTTTCGAGGACAAAACAACAAGACGGGACCCTAGACTCTAGACATTCACATAACTCCCAAGGTTTCAACAATCGAACTATGTTTTGAAGATCTCATATACTGTAATTGAATTAAGCATCCATCTTAGTCTTAGACTCCTAGTCGATGTGGGGCGAACATTTTGTAGCCCCAAACATCAGCTTGTAGATGTGTTGCATTCTGTTTAGATATGCATATGTTTAGTATGTACAAATGTATGTTAAACATATATTGAGGAACTTGTTAGGTAGTAACTTGATCACTGGCAGTTGTACGCAGTTGCTTTGACTTTCACCCAGACCTAAGCAGTCTTCCTAGACGAGCCAGCTCCATTTCTTCGACCGAGGGTGAAGCCTCAGCCTGGCCGGCGATTCTCAGAGTTTGGGGCTCGAGGAGGGCGAGGGCGTCAAGGAATCAAGGAATTCATCGTTGGAGAGAAACCAAAGAATTTGGGCGAATGAAGCTGAAAGGCCGAGTCATGGAATGTGGTCTTGGTTGAGACTCCAGGAATCCAGGAATCCAGGAATCTCCGTGCTTCTCCGTGCCGCTCGTCTTGGAAAGCCTAAGATGCCGTCCAGTCAGTACTGCGGAGAATCGGACCGCCGAAGCGTGTGACCAAACGGTTTTTCAAGGTCGGCGCCATGGAGCGCCACCGGGGTAACAGATGCGAACAGATGGCAACAGGGAGTCATGTGGGTAGGTCGATTGGTGCATGCGAGTATGAGTAGGGGGATCGAACAGTTGCAAAGCCATTGATCCACATCAGTGCTGGTGAGAAAGAGCCAACCTATGCTTTTTGTTGCATTGTTTTCGTTTTGACGGATGCGTGGGAGTTGGCTATCATCAGCTGCTTAGCAGCTGGTCCCTTCCAACGGTGAGGAGAAGTCAAGTGTCGAAGCAGGACCAGCAAACAACATGATGGTCAGAATGGTATTCCTAGGTCAACATTAATTGGTCATGATTTGGGGTCATGATGCATGTGAAGTTTGTGGAGACTATGGCATGATATGATATGGATGCATATGCAATGCTGCTACTTCTAAAGGACAGTTGTGATCAGTTTTTGTTGAATTATATCAAGTACCCACACAATGCATTATGATGACCACTGGCAATGGCGGCAACGGATGTGTTGCAACAAGTTGGTAGACAAAATGAAGGTGAATCCGAAGAGTGTCGTCAGCAAGCTACATCCCATCGCTGGAGTGCCGTCAGCGACGTGGCCATTAAGGTCCTCAGGTAACTCTGCCAGTTTGGTTCTTAGCGGTCGCGAGAGCGAAGTCATCAGCCAAATAGAGCCAAATCCCTTTTGCGTTCAAAGCCTCGGTATCTCTTGTGGTTGTTTGATTTCGACCTTTTTGAAGGTCGTTTAAGGCTTTTGTTTTAAGGGTCGTGTAGACCTTTTGTCAGGTTTTATTGCTATCGATCCTTGCGACGGCGAGCGGCTCGGTCGCCGATCGCAGAGCGGGCCCAGATGCCAAAGCTTCCAGTGCCACGACCAGGCCAGCAGACCGCGTGAACCGTGGGATTGCCGTGTCCATCAAAGTCCATGTAAAAACGTGTTTCTCAGGACGCTTGAGAAAGTACACTGTTATTTTTTTGAAATGGTGAATCTGTGCATATCCGTTTCGCCAGAAGCTTGCTCAATCCACTGTAAAACGACAAACAAACAAACAAAACTCTTGTTTGGATGGAAAGGACGAGGTGTATTGGCACAGAGATTGAATGTGTTGAACAAAGACCAAACACTCTTTGCTGGGAACCAGACGAAAACGATAACAGAAGCGTTAAAGCAGCGAGCCTAAAACAACCTCCGGTAGACAGGCCCACAGAGGTGATCTTTGTGGGCAGTTAGAGGGAATGAGGCTTGGTGAGTTGCTATTGCAAGGGCTTCCAGCATAGAATGAATCGGAATGTGTTGTGCTTACGTATTCGTATGCTTATGTCTTCATGTTTGCCAGGTTGCACTGTGCGTGCAGTGCACGGTATACTACACATGTTGGAGCTTGTCAGAACAATGTAATAACGATAGGAAAGAAACATACATATGGGGCATGCCATCAAAAGGGGTATAGGGAATCAAAGAGGGAGGGTTAGACAACCTCACTTGTCGATTTTAGCCCAAGAAGACAACGATGGCATGTTGTGATCATGATTAGTGGTGTATCGGTTGAGATCACGTCGACTATTTTAGGTGTTGAGACAACCAAACTTGTTACATATGCGTGTGGAAGCATGGTAGGACAGGATTTGTGCCACTTCCAACTCTTCATCCGAGATCTTCAGTTTGGCTTCATACGATAGCTGTGTGGTTTCAACTATATAAGCTTCATGTGTTTTACTAAACGAACGGAACAGAACTGGAACCACTACACCGTCCGGACCAAGAGGAAATCAGGACCATGCAGTTGGCTGCATGACCAAGCCCTTGGTCGTGCTCATCTCATTTGGCAGTTGCAGGAAACCTCAAGACCACTCACTTTGTGTCGAGTTCTACACACGTGGCAACAGGTAGCAGCGCAATTCATATGTGCTGCAGTGCCATTTTCTGGCGTTTTGGACGTCGCTTCTGTTTTTTCTTTTTTAACGAGGCCACAAGCTGCTTCTGAAGACCGAGCGAAGGCGTGCTGGATCCCCCTGGTCACTTGTTTGTGAAGAGAAACACATCAAGTTTCTGGCCCAGAGGGCCACTGCAAGGGCCACACCGTGATCATGACATATCATGACCTTGAATCCACTTGGGTCTCAAAGCAGATTGTGGAACATTAATTTACATAAATCTTAATCTTGGTTCTTTGGCTTCCTTTCAAGGTGTGTGACTGATCAGGTTGCGATTTTGATGAACCATTGATGGGTGTCTTTCGAACATCCCCACTCAAGATTGGCTCGTGTGCCTCGGTGGTGCATTTCTTTAGAGGCCCAAGAGAAAGCGAAGCCAAAGGACATCAGCCTGCAGAAGAAGGAGAAGGACTCCAATCTTCAAGGCTGTATCATGTAACTGGAGCTGTTTCTCCAGAGTTTTTTGATCAAAAAACGCCAAACAAAATCGACCAAATGGTTGGATCAGTGTGATACTCTAGGATGAGGCTTGAGGAGGTCCTCTTGTAGTTATGATTGGTTGAGATGGTTTTCAGCCTCCAAACAAAAATTAAGAACAATGCAGACCTTCCAGGAAGGAACTGTCCAGGAGCGCAAAAAAAGTGTGCGAACCGGATTTCCCAGCGTTCGCTTGCGGTGGCACCAGGTCCGTGGAATGGTGTGTTCCTTTTAGAATGGACCATTCATTAATGGGTTTTCTGACACGGACCGTAGCCTTGTAGTGGGACTTCTTGTTGCATGATGTTGCTGGTACACTGACCGAACTCGTTGTGGTCCACCGTCATCCACCGAACCTCTGGCGCCGAACTCTTTGGTGGGCCTGGCCCCACGAGAGTCTCGCCGTTTTTGTGGCAGGAGCGTGCTGCAGCTCAAGCCGAATGGCTCAAGAACTCCCGGCAGGAGAGACTCTTGGAACCGGAATGAAGCTATTTCAGCTGAAGAGTGAAGTACGTTTTGAGTTTTAATATGTTTGAAGCTACCAAACATACTGATGACATTGATGACATCCTTGTCACATGTCAAATCATTTGTACCAGATATGATCTATAGATATCTATAGTGCAGTACTGTTGAAGTTGTAGCAGCTTAAGGAGATTCTGTTCTTGGTTGTCCTTTCAATGTTCAGGACGCTTGCTTTTAATCAGGCCCCATTGTTATTCCCATGGGTTTTGTTCAGGCATGTTCGATTTCGAGTCGAGCGGATTTCGAGCGAACTTTCACATCGAGAGAACCAGGCCGTCCCAAAGAAAGTGGCTTCGAAGGCAGGATGGATACACCAAATCGTCTGGGAAGAAGTTCGGAGTCGATTTGGACACCGGTTCAGTCCGTTTCCATCGCGGATTTCTTCTTGAACCATGTCAACCGAGCTGGCTCGGATCCGGATGTTCCAGGTCGTCTGGGGGTGTGGCGTCGCAGGTGATCCCAAAGGAGCCGGAGGAGCACAATGAGCAGAGCGTCATTGAGGATGAGTGGAGAGATTCTGAAGGGGCAGGTTCAAGAGTAGTTCACTTGACTCATCAACCATTTCAATATTTCAACGCGGGACAGGCAGTTTGCTTGCCTGTTGCGTCAGTGAATATCAATGAATATATCAGTGGTGGCTCCACAGCCAGATTTATGTATATATAGTTATTTGGAAGCACGCTGCTTTGCAGGAATATCGTCAAAAGATGGCCAAGCAGGACAGTAATCGGGGCTGGTTTGGACGAGAATGCCCGAGCCGAAGTCAGACTGAGTATCCTCTTGTCACATGTCCGCCGGGGAGAGCGTCGCAGTCGGAGCTACAGCGGCGACTGTGGGTTGGCAGAAATCCAAACGTTGCATTGTGGCCGACAGCAGCATCATGTGCAAAACCACTTTCAGAAACCTGCCAACAACAAGGTGTTGATGCATGTGGTATTATTGCAATGATTTCCAAGGCATGTCAATGCTCTTCAGGTTCTTTGGCCCAGTGAAGCAGTTTGACGGTTCACTTCTGCCCTGCGACCTTTTCCTGCCCCCGCGACACCACGTGGTGTCACCAGGCGGAAGAGCTGGCGGAAAAGGCCAGAGATGAACGTCACAGGCCACAGAGGCGCTTCACAGGGCTGGCGTCATGGTAAGATGATGTAAGATGTGAGGAGGAGTGAGGTGTTTGAGGTGACTTCCCGAATACTGATAGTAGATATATGATTATTCATATGAAATATGATAGATCAGTCCTAGAACAGGAATCAGGTTTAAGCTGCTACACTGCTAACTAGACATCTTGTTGTTTTTGCGTCTATCCATTATTATGACGGTTGGAATCCGCAATTGGGATCATTTGGAAAACTTGGAGTATTGTTGTGGTGCATGTAAAATTTGAATAACAAAGATCGACTGGACATGTTGAATCTTCCCGAACCCTTTTGGAGACTACTCTGGACCCAGGCTGGATCAATATGATATACATTTCTTGATGACACCATCCCATTTGATGGAGGAGGACCATGGATTGAATCTGTGCTTAAAAGCAGATTCTACACATTTGCCACTTGCTACGCCAAATTCATTTGTTGGTCCACTTGACGTGCTCCCGAACATCATTGTGTGTGTGTTCCTAAAAGAGATATTTCAAGGCTTACACCTAAGAGCGGGCCGGGCAGGCAAGCGGGGCAGGTGCAGGCGTCAGGCGCAGGCGTAGGCAGGGCAGGTGCAGGCGCGCTGGCGCGCTCCCCCGCCGTCGGCAGGGGTCGGCGGATACCCAAACACACGAACACTTTCTTATCACTAAGAGGTAAATGGAAAGCTTTTTGTGGGGTCGATCTTCGCAGAACCTTCGCCGAACCTTCGAAGCAGGATGACCATCTTTTCTTTTCCCAATCACTTGGCCGAACTTGGAGGCTTCCAACGAACGCACACCGGCGCTGCAGTGTCTGCAGTGTGTTCGCAAGGCGCTCCTCCGTGTCTGCAGTGTCGGAGAAGGTTGCTTGGCTGCAACTCTGGAGTAGGATGTGCACACTGTGATGGCTTGGAAGCCACCCCAAGCTTGAGAGAGAGAGGGGTGGAAGCTTACTGGCGTGAGATTGATACAGTTATTTGAAAGAGTAGTTGGCATGAATGTTGCATTTAAGTTGGCCTAAATTGCTGATTTTTTGTTTTAATCTTTTCGCGGACGATTCGAGCGTGCCCCCAAGTGTGATAGCTCGGTGTGAACCTACCTGTGGCCGTGGTATTTCTGCAAGCTACAGGCCAACAGGGAGGCAAAGCACTTGTCAGCTGTGCCCATCAATCCATCTAGCGCCTCAAAATCTGCAGTGTGAAGGGTCAGCACTGCTGCCACACACTCCCGGGGCTTTTTCAGGGGGCCACTAACAATTTGCCAAGAACAGGTATTGGCAACAGACTGAGGTCGCTGGCTTCTAAGCATGGAAGAACCACCACAAACAGGTGGACAGTGTCCTCTCAAAAAAACTCAGCACCAAGCATGTGAATCACCGACTTTCGGCATTGACAGGTGTCGAGGTGGTCTTGAGCAGACCACTGCCCTCTGAAAAGGATGTATATAAATCTCAAGGTCCGGGCATTGACCAAGGTACAAACATGAAATGGACAAAATCCGAAGTGCTGACTCAGTCACACAAGTTGTGAAAAGTCGTGGGCACATGGCCGACTCTCAATTTCTTTTTGATTTTAGATGCACATGGTGAGGGTTCCCGAGCAGACGTTGTCCGCCGAATAATACTGGGCCTAGGAAGGTGGGTTCAGGAAGTGGATCCCAGTGTAAGGTAGGGTAGGTTATGGTAGTGAGTAGCACATGTGAAATGGTGTGTTTCCGTGTTGATGATTGTTGATATGTCGGTGGCTCCTGATGGCTGAGCGCAGTTCCTAGGACCTTATGTTTGCTTTGAACAGCTAATGTTTGCTTTTTTAGTTGCTCGTTGGCCTCAAGGTAGCAGTGAGCACAGATTAGCTTAGAGGTGTTAAAACCGAGGTTGTGTTCTTGATGTCAGTTTGCAAGATGATGTGATGTAAGTTGGCCAAGGTTCGAATTCGCTACTCAGTGGAAAGGGCCAATGAAGGTTCCATACTTAAGGAACCTGCACCAGCCCTTGTGTCGTCAAAATCAGTTCAGGTCGCATCAGTCCCTTCACCAGCTGTGAGTTCGCCTCCGAAGGAGTCCGGAAGCAAACCCTTTAAGGTGCAAACACAATCAAACGCATACCATACCAATTTGGTACACTTCACTTCACTTTGTACGTGCACAGTGGTATTTTCCTGCACTTTGTTTAAAGAGTAAGTGCCCTGTTGTGTTCGTATTCGTCAATTTCATAGCCGGCCTCAACTCCAGGAGCCTCGTCGGTCTGAGGTGAGGGCGGTGGGAACAAGGGAGGCCCTCACCCAGAAGCAGATGCCTCCTGGTAAACAGACCAGGAGAATGCCAGCGACTTTGGTTGTTCAATATGTTTTCCTCTTTATGTGAGGTTCCCTGTGGTAACATTTCGCAAAAAGAACAGGTTATAGCTTACATCAAAGAATTGGGTCATTGTTTAGAAGGTTTAGCATTTTTTAGCTGGGCAGCTCACTTTCTATCAATGGGATTCTGAGTATGGAACCATTCGAAATACCGGCGTCAGTCCCCAGGATTACATGTTGTGCTGGGTTTCGAGTTTGTTCATGCTCTTCCAGTTGTATCTAGGGCTCCGAGTACCTCCTCAAAAGGTCTTGGAACCCTCCACCTCCCAAATACCTTCTTAGAGGGTAAAGTGGGTATGTACAACCTCAGACTCCAAGTCATGGAGAGAAGATATGACCATGACCAGCTGGATGATTGAACAATATTGAACATGTTACAGTAAACTCCTGAATTGGCCAGCTAATGCTAATGGGTTTGTGACGTGAAGGATCCATAAGCTGGTCACACTGATGTCTCGTTGTATACACGGAGCTTTCTGGGCAGATGGGTCTAACACAGCAGGATGCCTTGTGTGTGATCATTTTAAGATTCAGAGAATGTGTCCCTATAGTAGTTGCAAAGGCAACATGCTTCATCGTGTTTCACTGTACATCTTTGTGTAAAAACAGACCGACCATGCTCAACAGACCGACCAAGTTCATTGCCCAGATGGGAAACATACATGAAGTCCAAGCCTCATGGCTCCAAGCCTCAGGCTCTTCCAACATCTTCACTCCACTTTCATCCATTTGTAAAGCATCTCAGGTCTCCACCCGGTCTCCACAAGTGCTTTTCAGTCCGCCTCGCCAGGGCCGCCAGGGAAGCCCCAAGTCGGACCTGTGGGCGGGCGAGACCTTGCAGAAGGTGTGGGGAAGTCGTCGATTTCATCGCCGCGCCGGGCGTAGATTTCATCGCCATGTGGGAGGAGTGCCCCTAGTAGCTTCTTGTTACTAGTATATAATATATATATATATAGGAAGGCCAGGAGTGCCCCTAGTAGCGTCCTTGCACCTACCCCCTCCTACATGGTGCCCGACATTTGGCCCGACATTGATCCGACAGATGAAGGATTTTTTTTGGTGTCGCTTTCATCGTGGAGACCGGGGCTCGCCGAAGTGACAAGTGTTCGTCCTCTACAAGCTGTTTTCCAGTGCAAGGAGCCACTGTTTTGGGATTGGAAATTGGAACTGGTACTTTCAGAGGTTTACGAGACCACCTTGGTCTTGAAACTATATAGGGAGAAGATCATGAGCACCTAATCAACAAGGAACACGCCTTGAGCCACCTGAAGATGGTAAAACTGCTTTTTGACCAGATTCGTTCTAGGTGACGGACTACAAAAGGTGCAGATTGCAACTCCTTTGTTACATGGCAGCCTTTCTTTTGTTGTATGGCTCTTGGGGAAACCCCTTGATGTTGAGCATCAAGATCAACGAAGACCTACAAGAGGCTCACATTTCAATGGTTTCTTTGGAGGCCAAGGCTCTTAGGTTGGAGACCATCGCTGGTAGGTTGGAGGCCATCGCTAGTAGTTTGGAGGCCATCGCTAGTAATTTGGAGGACGAAGACCTCCAATACAGCCCAGCTGTCGCAGGTGGCGTCAGATGTCGCAGGGAAACCCATCATTTGATGCGCCCGGCATCCGCGCGATCCTCGGGTGGTTGCACGACCATCCTGGCAACCCAGACCAAGAGACCAAGAAACCAACCAGCCAACCACGTGTAGTCTGGAAAGGGTACTTAAGGGTACCCCCTATAAAGCCACCATGCCATAAATAGTCTATACCCCCAAGTCAAGCGACATATTTTTGTTGGCTTAATTCATTTAGTGGTTCGACATGTCATTTCTTTATTCTTGGTTCCTTCTTTGGATTCCTTCTGAATTCCTTTCCTTTTCATGTCATTCATTCCCCTTCGAATCCCTTCGATATGTCCTTTCCTTTCCTCTTCTGAAAACCAACACAAAGGACTTTTCATCTCCATACTCGTCATCCCCTTCCATCTCACCCTCAACAATACCAAGTCCCTTTCATCGCCGTTCCAGGAGAATCTACCCCTTCCCAATACTCGCTACTTCAACACAGTGGGCTAAGACTATTTAGGGTCTGAGTGGGGAGCTGGATCCCCTAACGTCTATAAATCAAGCGTGGACATTCTGCGGCATGTGTACATTCTGTACATTCGGAGCCGCTCGGAGCCACAGAAAGCCACAAACACCTGCAAGCAAGTGTTCATGTTCGCATCAACACCTGCAGATCTTCCTGATCCACTGGATGATCCCTCAGGCGACCATTGCCTCAGAGGCCCTGAAATCTCCGACCGCCTCAGCGATCGATCGATGGTTCTTCCTCACGGAACACCAGGAGATGCGGACGGAACGGTTGAAACAACTCCGGTGTTCCGGAGGTAGTCCCATTCTGAGCCCCATTCTGAATTATACAACATACCTGTGTTAAGTCCTCTTTGTCTTGTAGAAAGTCGTGTGGATGCTGCGTTTACATTGGTCGAGTAGCCCATATGTTGGGGTTATTCTCTTGAGTGGACAATGTCATACATAGTATCAGAATGACACTCGTCCCTCCCGACTTATTAGAGTGGTTGGTGTTTCATGGTGTACCCCGCGAGCTCATGTCCCAACTTCAGAAGACTTCGTCCGCTCCGTTGAACTTTGAGCGACTCGCGGGATGTGAATTACGAAGCCGGCTTGGGGTACCCACACTCCAACAGAGAATGCAGAAACATGGACCAGAACATGTCCCATGCAGATCATGGAGTCCAGCTGTTCAGGGTGCGCTTTCTGGCACCTATTCTTTCTTTTTGTCCCCCTGTTGTGAATCGGCCAATTGGTCAATCGGACCGAACGTGCAAATTAAACATGCGAATAGCACAGCACTGAAGACCACCCCCTGGACAAAGCTTCGAGCGTTCCGGGAAGCTTGGGATGATGAACAGTGTTGGCTTTGGCATGTGTTCGGTCAGACGTGGCAGAGGATTGACTTTTTTAGAATAGCGTTTGGTTCAGCGGACGCCTGTTGATGACCGAAGACTTTGGCTCCATAACACCATGAGTTGACCGACAAATGAGAGTTATTGACCAAGACATTGGGTGTGCGACTGTTCACAACAGCAGCTAAGCATGCACTTGCCTAGTGCCTTGTTCCAACAGCTGTCCACCTGGCAGCGAACCAGTCCAAGACTTCTTGGGCTCCCACTGGTTTCAGACTTGCTTAGCGATACCATGCGAGACCATACACAAAGTGGATCACCAGAAGCAGCAAAGAACGACTTCCTTTTGTTGTTCTCGGCTGTTTGGTTCAACAAGTTCTTTCATTTCAAGATGCACTGCAGATCCGGGCACCGTCCGGCCACCAGACTTAATTCGCGCACTTTTCAAGTCGGTCCGCGTTCTTACGCGGATGTGCGGACGCAGGACATGGCAGGGCATGAAGAAGAGTTGCAGTATGTTGCATTGTTGTGAGCTGATGCCCAGACTACTTGGATCGCAACTTCCCAACAGACTGGATGTTTTGGGGTACCATGCAGGAAGACACTTATGAAGATCCACCTTGCCTCCAACATCCGAACGCGTCCAGGTCCTAGTCCCTTGGAAGAACACATTCCTGTCCAAATAGAGGGTCTCTAAAGCATCCATGATTAGTTTTATGATCTTTCCAATATTTAGATGTTTCATGATGTTTCTTCAGGCACCTTTTGCACAAAAAATGGCCTGGCAAATGAGAGAAGGGGGGACACCCTGCTTCGTCTATTCATCGTCCAGACACGGCGCGACGCTGCGGCCGGTTCTCGCGCGGCGACTGGGCATGTCGCGGATGTCCAGGAGAAAGCCATGCTCTGGTTGAGGCGGGCCGGAGGTGTTCGTGTTCAGAGGACCGGCGGGCCACATGGAGAGCTACGTACGGGCTTGTCTACAGCATGAGCTGATCGAACCATTCATGCATGTCGCCGTTTCTGCGTGCTGTTTAGACCAGAGTAGGAAGACGGCATCACAGATACATGCATGTTTGCACCTGTAATCTGCGAGGCTGCTGGCCCTCGGGGGCCTCTCTTTGACCTTCCTGGCACCAGCTCCCGCGAGATTGTCCTCAGCTCAGACAGTAGAACATTATAGTATTATTTTTGCCGCATGTATCCGCATATTTTAGATGTTGCAAGGCCGGGTTCGACGGGAGGAAAGGACTGACGGTGTTTTGATTCCTGAATGAGGGTATTCGCTTCCCGACAGGAATTACAGGCTACACGGAAGGAACCGACTCGACAGAACGTTTGTTGATAGGAGGTTGGGGTGGGTCTCAAGGTGGCCGCATGGCATGAATGGCCAAGCGCAGTCATGAAGGTATCTGAAATTCAGTCGGTCTCTGTGTATCTTAGGGTCGTTTCATTGTGTTGGACAAAGGGCTTAGCATTCATAGTGCTCCAGGGATCCAAACCAGACTCCCGCAGCCGTAGATTGTCCAGATCTCCAAGACTTCGGAAAACGGCATGACGAAGCAAGAGGCGAAACGAACAGACCTGGACCATCTAATGGGTCCACCCTCTCTCTCTCGCGCGCGCTCTGTCGCTCTCTCTCTCTCTCTCTTTGTTGTTTGAAATCTCCATATTGGATCTCCGTCGGACACCCATGCCATTGCATGGGTCCTTGGTGCATCATTTGCTTGACATGTTGCTGCCTCCCACCACTGATGTATTTCGATCGCCTGAACAAAAAAGAACTCTTTCATCAGTCTGACGCAGGGAATTGGTATGAATTAACTCTCAAGGTGTTGATTCGATGTTGGGCGGCGCCCCCTTTTTGGAGCACTTGAGGTTGGGTTCCATCATGCTCCTCTTTACCCTGCGCCCGTCCCTGCAGCGGAGCACGCCTCCCACGCCACCCGGACAAGAGTCGTCTTCCTGCGGGTCGAAGAGCCTCACAGAATCTCTTAGCTTTGGACATGTTTCCCCAGCCTCTTTTGGAGAATTGGAACGAATTGGATTTCATTCTCAAAGTATTTGCATGAGTCAGTTCTTTGTTGCCGACTGCAACCTACTTCGGCAAGGTTGAGGGTGAGTGTTCGATCTTGGTCGAAAGAACTGTGTTTTCTACGATTCTACCGAAAGGAAGTGGCAGCATCAGCACTTTTGCATTGATGTTGTGATGTATATATAATATATGTTAGTTCGAAGTTTCCAGATGTTAATAAGAGCGATTACTTCAGGGCAGATTTCTGCACATGTCAGCATTGATTCCAGAGTTTCAACAAAACGTGTCACGGCACCCCACCCAAAACTCTCGCATGCCGTACCATGTGCATCTTTTCTCCGCATGTTCCCGTCATCGTCATGTCGTCACTGGAGTTTCAGGAGCCCTTTAGTGCGATCGCCCACTGCGGTGGGGGGGCTCGTGTGTGTGTGTGTCCAATCCTGTTTCCAAGGACACTACTCTAGTTCTCGTTCTACCCTACCCTACGAATCTTCCAACCATTGTACAGTAGCAGGGGGCCAGCGCATGGCATCACGACGCTGGCCAACGAAGCTAGTGATGTCATGGGAAGCAGTCAGAGACGTCTGACTGTGTACCTGCATTTTTTAATATACACTAAATTAATACTTTTTGTTGAAACATTCAAGTGAGCGGACTTTGCACTTCTTTCCGTTGAATCAAGTCAAGAGCTAAGTATTCACCTAAAGGGCTAATGCACACCGCGAAGCAGCCTGAAATCACGCTCCACGGAGCAACCTTCTCAAGTGTGTTTTCGCAGCTTCTTCCCACTGTGGTAAGCTGTGTGATCCCTACGGGGCGCCGTTACCGCGAGAACCTTCTCACTCCTCACCGAGGGAGTAAGTTTTCTGAATTCTCTCTGAAGTTCCTTAGACTGAATTTTACCTGCTCGAAATCAGCTTGGATCGTCTCACCCCGCACATGTGAAGATTACTGCAGAGTACACTGAAATCCTTTCTGAATCTCACTGCAGAGTTAACTGAAAATGTTTCACCCGGAAATCCATTCCTTTCAAATCCTTTTAACTTTTCAAGTTTTAATTCAATTTTCCAGAGTTTAATTGCGGTCAGTAAATACACTTCACAACTTTTTCGACCTCACGGACCTCTATTTATTTTCATACATACATATTTTGATTGTCTTTGACTTGCCGAGCAGCCATGACGTATCCCTGGCCCTATTCCTTACCGCCACACATCCATCAGCAACCACAACCTGCACAACCCCATTGGATTCAATACCCACCACAGGCTCCACCACAACCATTTCCAACACTACCACCGACTCCACCACAACACCCAACCTCACATCATTATCCATTTCCCACTCCACCTCCACCTCATGCTCAATACATCCAACCACATCAATTACAGGCACATTTTCCAGTACAACCCACGGTTCCTTTCGACACTACCCAACTTGCGCAACAACATCCGCATCTCACAATACAACCACCACAATCCCAAGCTCACACACATCCCACATGCCACTTCAATCTCAACCTCAACCACCACTTCTGCCTCCTCAACCACATCTATCACATCAACTACGTGCACCATCACTTCAACCACCACCACCACAAGCACCTGATTTACCACAAGCACGAGCGCCTGATCCAGCAACAATCACTCCACCACAGCTGGCCACACCAACTCCACCACCACCACCACCTCACACTCCAACAGCCCCACCAGCGGCTACTTAACCGGCTTCCGCAACCATCACCACACCCGCACAGCCTCCGCCACCACACCACATACCACGCACTACCAAGCCAACACCTTCCATTGCACCCACACTTAGCACTACAAGAGGCATTTGGCGCGACCCAGATCGCTCACCACCACGCACACCTGAACATCACCGCTACTCAGCCTTTCCAGCCGTTCCCACCATTGCACCATCACAAGCTACATCCAGATCCAGGAGCCGCACTCGCTCACTACGCACTACACGTTCTCCACTACCACGACGTCGAAGCTCCGCCACACAATCAGTGGCTAGTTCTCAACCACAATCCAAGCCTGCAGACAGACAAACATCACCATCACCAGCAATCACCCAGGACAATGCTGACACTCCCAGACAAAACATCACTACCGCTACCACTGAAAAACACACTCCAGAGTCAACTCACCGTACTTCCAGCATCACACTCAAACCCAACCCACATTTCACACCCAAACATTCCACAAAACAGACACCTACACCGCCACCACCACCACCATTACCTACAGTTCCAGTACAACGTCGACCTCACAACTTGCCTCCTCCAAAATTCCAACCACCCACTGATCCAGCACA